AGATTAATTTATTTAGGGATTTGACATGTGCCTTCAGCCACCCTTTATAAATGTATTCCTAAAATAAAGAAGCGAAGCTGCTTAACTTCATATCATTTCCTTCTGTAGGTACAGCACCATCAAAGTAATTGTTACACATTTTACAGTTTACACAATACCAACACCGGCCTACACCGAGTGATAACACAGTAGATGGTACTATGTGGGAGGATGCAGGAAGATCTCTTCTTTCTGCACATGAGTCTGCTCCTGTACTAATGACTCAATGCAAACATTTACATAGTGGCAGAACCTTTTAGGTTAATCTGCCCACACTTGCGTGCACCAGGTGTACAAAACATATAATGACATATGATGTTACAGATCTGATGCTTCATATTTCAAATAGTACTATTTAAACATCATTTTACATGATTAGGGATTAAACTGTGCTTTCTTTTGTCTTTTTAAAGCTTCTTTTTGCTGCGTTTTACAAAAGAAATAACATACATAAACAAATTAAGCCCAACATCTCACCCTGGTGGGGAAGTATCTTTCTGTTTTAAACTGCTTGAGGAATGATGACAAAAAGAAGGTTGTGAAGAAGAGGATAACAGACCAAAAGAGAACATCTGGGATATACGGCCCATGGTGACCACAGGCAGGACCCACAAAGTCTCCATGGAGCAATTTGCACGTCTTTAAAGAAGAAGAAAAAGGATAAAAATTGGTAATTTAATGAATCCTCTCTATTGCAGAGGTAAATGTATTTCTGGGGCTTGTGCTTATGACTAAAACGGTGAATTATATAATGTAGACTATCGGCTTATAGTGGAATTGAACTTGTGTGTTAAATCTACGCTGTAGGTATGTAATGGCAAACCTTTCTGAAACCTTATGCAGTAACTTACACAGTAACCTGACACACACCTCTCTAGTGATGTAACTTCACAGTACAACAGCACCACCTTTTCCTTCCATGCATTTCTGGCTACTTCTTTTGGTGCCATTTTTGAAATCAGCTAGAAGACAATGGAGCAACTCGAAGAGAGAAACTCCACTGCTAGCAAGTGTTTAGGTGGGGAAATTGTAGAGACACACCACATGCACACACAGGTATAAAAGCTACTTGGGGAAGCTACGGCATGTGCTCTACATAGATTCAATGCATGAAGTCAACATTAAGCTTCACTGTTTGCTCTCCAATTTTAAAACTGTTTGTAATTTCTGCTTTTTACACTAGAGGTCACTGTGCGCTAGTCTTACTGAAACACTGAGGCTGCTCCATTCGATAGAGTCTGGACTATATCCGGACTGGTTCCACTTCTGCATGACCTCATCTGTAGCATTTGCTGGTGGAGAACACTGACACCTGGGGACAGAGGATCCAAAACTAAGCAAAGTCTGTACCTTGAGCCTTCTGTGAGAAATAATGTTTAAGGTTCAATTAAAGCAAACTTTAAGTACATGCTACAGTGTATCTACCAGGTAAAATTATATTTTCCTTAAGAGGGAACTACTTTATGTGATGCTTTGGAATTTTTCCTAAAGACTGTAATAAAATGTGGAAAGTCCCTACTTTGAGACCAGGGGCAGACAAGTCCCTCTGAGGTTGTGTCAAAGCCCGTTACAAATCAGAAATTAAATGAAAATTTAATAAGACTTTAGGGTTTTCCCAGTAAACCAGTCAGCTGAAGTAGTCATACAAGAAGATAATATAAATCTTAACCTCTCTCATTATCAGTTAACGCACTCTCGCAGAGACAGCAATTTGAAGAGCTAAATTTAATGCAACCTGTGCAAACAATTCAAAAAATATAACACTGAGCAAACAATAATAAACAAATGGACCTTTAATCATTCATGTAACTTAAATCTCAGTACTTACGAATACAGAGTAAGGTTGTCCAAGCTGTTATGCATGTTGACAGGGTACAATTCTCCCAGATGAAAGAGTTTCTCTAGAGCTTCGTAGATGAAGATGATGCAGATCAATGCTGCAAAGGCCTCCTCTGTGAAGCGGGTAATGTAGCAAACCAGAGAGCTTGCATCTGTGGCCACGAGGATGATACACAGGAAGGCAGTCCACAGACCAATGCTGGTCCGTAGAGACAGGTAGGACAAGCTATAGTCCCTGGGAAAGACAAAGAATTTCTATTAGACAATGGGAATCAACATAAAACACTGTTGAGCATTTTTACTACAAAGCAAACTTGCTCAAACTCACTTGCAGAACTTAAAGAGGATCTTCTCAAATACTAAAACAGGCCCCGTGCTGCCAAGAATAGTGAGGGGCTGGCCTGCAAAGAGGGAGTATGCTACTCCTGTCAGTGATGCCCCAAATAGAGACTCGATGGCGCTCTGTAGAGACAGAGGAGAGGAGTGGAGTGAGGGAATAAGAAAGGAGGGATTGGGGAGGTGAAATTGCACAAAGGAGGATACAGAGGGAAAGGCTGAAGGAGAAAAGCAACAGATGAGGAGGAGACCACAGACCAGAACATAAAGCTTTGATTAAACAGACATTATGGGCTGCGTCTGAGAGGCTAGATAAACTGTTCAAATGTTCCCACACTGCTGACTTGTCCGAAGTCATATCTCTGTGCAGTGTGTGAGTTTATTTAGACACATTACACACACCAGCACACAGACTGTCTGTGCCAACAGTCCCTGGCCTAGCACAGGCATCTGGATGAAAGAGAAGCAGACAGTGAGAGAGAACAGAGAGAACCACAAAAAGAGACACTACACTAAACAGTTTGCATGGTAACAAAAAGAAAGAAGTGAAATGTATTAATAGTTTGATTTTATGTAACATTTTTTTTAATTTTGATTTCTCATACACGTATTTTAAAGAGGTCAGAAACATGTTGTGTGTAACATATGTGCATTTGATCCCATCTTATTGTATAGTGAAAGAGTGTTGCATTATTTAGCTAAAATTGTTCAAACCGTGGAATGGATTTCTTATTTGAAAACACTGATAACACTATTATGGATGGTCGAAAGAACAGATTTTTGCACTTTACAACTTTAGGATGGAGCGTTTAGGATGTAAAGCGCTTTGGGGTCCTTAGGGATTAGTAAAGCGCTATATAAATACAGGCCATTTTTAGGATTCTGTGGAACTGGGGTATTTGCTTTCAGTCATTCACAATACCCTCACAGAACCCATCTGAAGTGCCAGTACAAAAATCACAATATGTAGTAGCAATAGTCCCAAACGTTCCTCTATAACACGACTAAGGGATTAGGGCTTCTACGCCCACTGGAACCCATGAAGCGATCAAATACTGACTTTTAAGTGCCAAGCTTTATGACTCACTATGTTGCCTTTTGTCGCCTCCCCAAGCAGACCCCCGAATGTGATGACAGGAGACATGCAGGCGCAGTAAAGGAAAAGGACAGAAGCGAGACACTGTAGACTGAGAGCATCCCTGATGTCGCTCCAGTAAAAGGGCGCTTTCCGCTTGACATCCAGGACCAGACCTCCGAAAATTCTAGAAGATTCCCAGAGCAGATTTTAGTGCTTGAAATTTTCAAATTGAATGTAATGTAACTTCAACATATTTTCAATCAGGAAATGTGAAGAGTGGAAGCTTCAAGAGTATTACTGTACAAAAATTCAATTAATATGAAGCTAAGTATCTAAGTGTCTGTGCTGGATCATCTGACCATCTGGTTCAGAGCTTATTAGCACTAAAGAAAAGACTCTTACTGTAACAGTGTCAGCTGTAAACCGATGTTCTTAAAATGTACTAATTTAATGTTTCTGGCTTCACTGAGATGCTGTCTGATGTTACTTACTGACCAATCAGCCTCTTTCTGCCTGTTTTTCCTTTGCCTTTCTATTTCTCAAATCCATTTCCCACCTTATATATCGTCTCCTCTCTTTTCTCTAACACCAATCCAAAAGCCTTCCTGTGAGGTCTTTTTTTATATTTACTTTCCCTCACACCTCTGAAATAACCTCTCTTGCTTGCTTTTTTTTCCGTTAACATTAGCTTCTTGTACTTTCTTACGCTCAGCTTTCCCTGAGTAGCTCGCTCATAGCACAAGCCTTTTATAGTTGCAGTGAAAGGGAGCGTGACTCTGTAAATAATACAGTGCCTTCCAACAGACATGAGTGTGTGCCAGTCTGAGGTTGCCAATAAACACATTGTCCCTCAGTGTGTGGCACGTGGATAGGTGGTATCAGTTATCCATAAATGTCGACATTTCAGTTTAACAGAGTAATGTATCTGCTCAAACAAACTAATGTCGTGCTTCTAAAATTTCACATTTCATACCATTTCAAATTTTAATATGAGCTCTGTTAGGAAAATGATTTGGATGATAGCTTCGAATTCACAGAAGAATTCACATTTTAGAGCATCCTATAACCATAAATAAACCCCTGCAACTCAAGATGATAAACAGAACAATAAACAGAATAAGTCATTTCCATACAGGGAACAGCAGCTGACTGGATAGATGTTTAATAATGTCACCATAACATACTCACCTCCCAGTCCTCTGCAGCTCAGGCCCTGCATGATGGTCCTCCTCTTTTTCCAGTTCTCCAGCTGGAGGTGTACTGCCATTGGGCTGCAGTGGTGTTTTCCTCTTTATCTGCAGGTAGGACAGTTTAAAACAATATGTTCCATATGTTTTAATTCTTTTAAGGTCTCTCTCATCGTTTAAGGTGCCTCTCTTACTGTGAGTATAATGATATAGAGCTAAATGTGACATATAAACAATAGGTTACTGTTTATAAGACTTGTATATATGGAAGTACAGTATGAAAGATGTTGTATTCTTAATGACTTATCCAACTGTTTACCCAAGCTGAACTCTAGACAGGCTGCCAGTTTATCACAAGACTAACAAAGAGATCTACACCTATGGCCAGTTTTAGAATCACCAATGCATCAGTGTATCCCAGGCAATTTTCTCTAAATTTTTTGTTACAGTCATGTAACAAAAAAAAAATGAAAATGGACACTTAAATGTATATTCAGTAGATACACCTGATATAAAATGTGGTAGAGATCCTAACTTACCTGAGATGGGACATTCTTGGGTGGCTCAATTCGAATTGTGGGATCCCACTCTCCAGGAGGAAGGACAGTCACCTGATCAAGGAACTCATCTATCCCAGAGAGTAGATCAGTTCGGTCTTTGGCCTTGTATGCAACGTCGTGGAAAATCTAGAAAATGAAATATATTTGGAGAATGGTTGCACAATTCAATTAAAATTTGAAAAAGATAAAATAAGATAAAATTCAAATAAATGGCAGTGTCCTTCTCACCTCGTCTGTCATTAGCGTGGCCATGGATCTGCCAATTTCATGGTACTGTGGTCCTTTACCATGAGGACCCAAAAGCAGGAAAAGAAACCTTTCAACAATAAACAGATTAATTAAATACACTTAAACTGATGACAGTGATACAAACTGCATTCGGAGCTGGTTTGTAGCTCCGAAATAAAAAAAAAAAGAAAAGAAAAAAAGAAAAAAGGTGTCATCTCATGCTATGTATTTATGCTCCCTAGAGTGCACAACAACAGCGCAAGCCCAGACATGTGAGATCAAGAGCAGAACCTCAGCTAACCTCACCTAAGGGAGCTACTTTACAAGTATGGAAGTACTTTGGCTATCACATCACCAACAAAATGCAACACTTTGAAAAATGTGCAAGCAAATTTGTTTTATCACTTGAGGTAAAAATACACTGTTGATTGCATCCAAGCTAAGAATCCACATGAGGAGGAGATACCGACAGCTGGTGAGGTGCGACCCAAACATAAACAAATGACTCAACCGAGCAATGCTGGAGCTCTGGCTATTTGCCCTCCATATGACAGAGAGAGCAGACAGTGGATAGAAATTACTGATGTGGTTAACTTTTGTTTGCAGTCCACAACAGCGGATGAGCACGGCTTTAAGAAACTGGTCAAAGTTTTTTCAGTTTATTTTTATTTAACCAGGAAAAAAATATGACTCTTGAGATTAAAATAGTGTGTCCTAATAAAGAATCAGTTTATCATAAGGTGAATAAATTAAATTCACTCAGCAGTTAAGTACAAGTAATAAAAATAACAGAAACAGAAAACAACGAAAACACCTAAAAAACCTAGGGTACATTTTTTTTTTTTTTTGCAATTGACTTATGTTGCATCACTACAATGGCACTGCAAGAGCCTTGAGGCAATAGATTCACACTTCAAATTAGACAGTCTGACACCAGTGACAAAAATAAGGGTGGAAAATGCCCTTCATTTTGTCTGCACTAGCTGCTACTTACATACTGCAATCTCCCATAAAACATTCAGTATGTTTTTCTACATCATCATTAACGTCTTTATTGTGAAGTACGATATCATTTCGGGGCTATATAGCCCAGCCCTACTAGTTCATCTTTTCGCATTTGCATTGTTTATGTTTTTTAAGCCATTAGCCTTGTTGTTTCTTCTTTTGATCGCTTTACTTCTTCCCATGTTGATTAGAAAAAAACTAAGCGTTGCCCACATTTTTGTACACCATGCTACAAATTTTTTGCCCAATTACATGTTTCAAGATTTGTATCCAGGCATTGCAAAGGGTTGTTTATGATCACAGCCATAGTAAATCCACAGGTTATAGTAGGTCGACGTGATAGCAGCATTAACAAATTATTTAAAAAGTCTGCTTTAAAAAAAAAAACCTAACTTGTCATATTTGGTGTGTTTTTTTTAAATGACAAAACTTTAGGAAAAGAAAATACTTTATGTGATACAATTCTTAATAACTTACCTTGTGGGCACAGGCACCTCAGTAAGGCCTGTGATAAGGACTGCAGGTGACAGTCGAACAAATGCAATTATGGGCTTCTCCAGGAAGTCCACTTCTCCCACTAGCACATTGGAAGCCTCAGCACCCGGGGGAATCTTTTTCATGAAATTCATGTCCACCTGAAGTCAGTGAAATAGTAAAATCATACATACAGATCTACACAGAAGAAAGAGCTTAAAAAAGGTATAACAGACTTGGAGCCAGTGGAAGTACACACATGCGAAAAGAGATGAAGATATGGGAATGAAAGGAATGGCAGCAGGTCAGTTGGATGCTATGATAATAAATGAATTATAAGGGGATTTGAGAGCAGCCTATAGAACTACATAGTACTGAGCAAAGATTGTCCATTGATTTTATCCATTTCTTATTATGTTCCTCAGATAAATGGCTTTTACTGCTACGCTAAATAAAAATAGACCCGAGCATGGCAACGTTTTGTTCATCTCTGTGTAAAAGGGTCTGTGCCTTCATCTCCTATGACTCACGCAAACACAGCACCTTATTTTTTGGCAGTTATGGATGCTTTCATATTGACAAGTGCTTATGGCGACCTGCCATTTTACTTAATGGATGCAGACCTAGAAAATGGTAGGATGAATGGGAGCCATGCTACGGATTTCCAAAACTAAACAGTTATGTAACTTTGATGCTTATTCTGCATCCATTACAGGAGGAGCAATGATTAATGCCTTTTACTGAGCCCAGAAGAAAAAGGCTGACAGGTATGTGATGTTGGCGCTCATAGAGGCTGTTTTCAATGGAGGCCATTGAAATGACTGTGAACATCCAGAAACTGAAGAAAAAAACAAAACACTGATGGTTCAGTCATGGGTCCCTCCACGACGGACTGTTTCTGTGCTCAGTACTGGGGATAGGTTACCTTGCTGAAGTCGACACTGCTGCTTTCTCTACTGACCCCTACTTTGGATGGCCGCCTATCCATTGCCTTGTTGCTATCCAGATTGTTTGGGACGGAGTTCTGAGACACCAGTGGTCCTGGGATGCAAAAGAGGAGAGAAAAAGACAAAGCGGTGGTAGAAAACGTGTAAGTACAAGGCAGGAAATGACGGCAGGAGACCAGCTGTGAGGTCTGCCATGAACGCTGTCATGTGATTAGTAATAAGATTAATAATGATAATAGCAACTTTTAATAATTAAAGTAAGTGCCATTAATTTGCCTGTCTAATTATGAAGAAGATTATATAATGATATGAGTACTTCTCCTACTTTACAGCATGGGCTCAACAAACGTGAGGCAACTGTGGAATTTAATCACTCTATGCAAACAAACCTGATACAAAGCGAATCACACATTTTTTTTTAAAAATTTAGTATCACAGTTTAAATAAGTGTTTCAACTTCATATTTATATATTCAGTTTTAAAGGGAAAATTAAACACTGCACTTCACAGTATGTGCTCTTAGCTAAGTGGCCTAAGGAAATTTGCTTTAAATGTTCAACCAGATCCATTCTGCAGTTTTTTGGCAACATACTGCGGAAAATGAAAAACTTTATATTACATGTGCATTCATTTAAACTGTTTAAATAATAATAATAATTTTTAAAAAAAAACATATGCCTGAGCTGATTAAAGCTTAGTTGAATCTATTTTATTATGTTATTTTTCTGTCAAGTGAAATGATTTCTTCCACTAAATCCATTACTTGCTAAATGTGATGATGTGACACAGAGCAGCAACGATGTGACAGCTCTTCAGAGGGAAGATGATATTTGACAATACAGTATTCCTGAATGCTCCCAGTCTGTTGAGCTCATGCTCCTGCTTGGCTTGAAATCATGTCGGCTTTGGTCTAAAGGTGAATGGAAGTGTTTGATGTCCTGGCAGATCAAATGTTAAAACTGTCATTTCTGTGGACGACTGGTTGCACACTTTATGCGATCTGAGCCATACCAGATACAGGAACCGCTAGCACTTTATGCGAGATGAGAGAGGGAGATGAAATGAGGGAGTACTGCATATAAAGCGAAGGACTACATATGCATACTGTCCTCTGAAATTCTTTTACCAGGTTTTTCTTCATTTCCACTTCCACAAAAAAAAATAAAAGTCATCAAGAAATAATTAAGCAAACATAAAAAACGAAATACACCACAAGTCAAAATGAAAACGTATCATTTCTGCCAGTGATTTCTGGCCACTGATTCATACCCTTGAACTGTACCCTGGAGTAACCCCAGTGAATGCTGGGTAGCTGGGACTGCTGAACAGAAACGTGATTGCTCACATACCTGACAAAGCCTCTTGAAATATGGGAGGGATTAGTTTAGGTTGTGGCTGCCAGCACACTTCATTCAGGAAGGCTAAGCCCTGGAATGCTCCACCACACCAGCCTTTTAAACAGTGGTGTCACAGCACTACCTCATTCATATGCAAAAAAGTAGCATAGATGTCTGAAATTACCGACTGGCGGAAATTCCAATAAAAGCCAAAAAGAAGATTAGAGGGTACATTTATAGCACCTGTAGGAATACATGTACAGATCTAAAATAATATAATTTGTTATATGCATGAAGGAGTTTTAAATGCAACTACTGTAATAATAACAACAACAACAACAACAACTCTCTCTTTTAACATGTAACAAGTGGAGTGCAGTGAGTCCCCGAATGGCCCGTGTAAAGGTATTTTACACATGACACGAGCACACTCAATGGGTGCATGACATTTACACATAAATAGCCTCTTGTCAACTCAATATCTACAATACCTTCACTGTATGCATTTGTAACATGTAAGCTAGACTTCAAATAGCCTCCAGACACGGCATATACACTTATCATACAGCTGTTAGAGTGTTAGCCATTTAGCTCAACGGTACAGTTTCTACAACCTCCAGCCAACACCAGATGACATTATTAAATTTAATGATTTGAAAGTGGAAAGGCCTGAAAGCCTCCTCTGAAGCCTGCTCTTAATTCTATGTATTTCCCCAAGAGGGGGTACAATTACAGAAGCTTGTCAGCTATAATAAGACCTCCCTAACCTTTCAGATTCAGCTCCCATCAACTGAATGCGGATTCTAACAGCCCATACTTTGAAATGGAGCCATTCCCAGAATGAAACAAACACAGACGTACGTACACACATGCACACAGAGTCTAATAATAAATTAAAACGGCTTGGTTCGGGAAGAACAAAAAGTCACAGTAGGTGCCAGTGTGATGGTACATACAGTACCAACACACCAGCTCTAATCACAGGCTTATTTTTGGCCATGCTGCTGGCACACATTGCTCTCTCTACACTCTTAGACGGGTAAAAGAACGTGTATCTTTGGAACTGATGCCAAATGATGAGAATGGGAAAAGCACAAGTTGAATGACATTTCGGTGAAATCAAAGGATCAGTCGCCTGAGGGCAAATGCTCATAAATAAATAAAAGGATTTAGGATGTATTGCTAGTTTTGTTAGTTACAAAACACCACTGCAAAAGCAAAAATAAATGTCCCAAGGCTTCTGTAAGATTTGCATCAAACAACAATCAATAAGCGCTGCTCTAACTGTGCAAAAGTCCCCAATATATCCTAATTAATTGATGGGAATGTATTCTTTATACAGTGCTGTGAGTCACTGACAACAGCAGGACAGCACAAAAAATAAAGGCCAGCAGCTCCAGTTAATGATGCCCACACTAAGACTGGCTAAAGTGGGTTACAAAAACTAGGCAGCATTTTTCAGCTGTACCACCACAGAAATCATACAGAACACACTATCAAAAGATTTATGTGACACCAGTGATAAGAGTTATACTTTCCCTGTTAATACATTTGGGTTTTTTTTTTAAACACATCTAGCCTACGTAATTAATGCTGTGGAACTCTGAACTGCAGAAAACAAAGATGGACTGAATGACCTATTGGGCTGATAAACTGCTCACTCATTAATAAGGTGAAATAAACCCAATAACAAAACCCCTTCAAACAAGTTTTTAAACTAATAAATGTGAGTCATGGTGAGCAGAATGTGTAAACAAAACATGAAAAGACAGATGACGAAGTATCGGCACAAGATTTTGGGGGTAGCTATGCAAACACAACAAGGGGAAGGTGTGAAGATGGACTCGGTTAAGCAAGGCGTAGATGCTTAGAAAATGTGTGGAGCAAAGTTTAAAGGGCAAAACAGGAGGGATGAGAGATAGCAGAAAGGAACAGGTTGGTGGAAGAGATGAACAGAGAAGGGAAACAAGCAGAGGTTTCATCAGTGAGTAATGTCAAAACGTTTATTGATATATATACACAGTATTCAGTGAGTGAGCCTTGCTGTGGATTAATTATGAGATGGACGCAAGGTTGGAAGTTAACAGTGAGCAGAGCTTTCATGCTAGTGCTAGTGTTCTCTGTTCAAGCTGTGACTCACACTGGCAGGCTACACAGATATTTGCCTTCTAAGGGCAGCAGCTCAACGCTCTGGGATGCTGAGGATGCTCGCCGGCTGAGCTGTGGTGATACCGCCTCTTCTTCTGGTGGGTCCTCATCCTCTGGAGGAGATACCACAACCTCAGGGATGCCTTGTGGGCCGAGGACTACGCCCTGTCTGTGTGATGGGCTCTGAGAACGGCGTAAAGCCTGAGGGGTGGTAAAGGGAGAAGGACCTGGGGAAAGCCCAGTGTTGGAAGAAGAAGAGGGCAGCAGGTGGTTGAGCAGAACGGAGACTCTGGACTCTCGTCTCTGGGACAGGTTGGATACAGAGGATGCTGTCCCTGGCTTGTGGAGAGAAAGACGTGAAGAGGACAGGCCCTCTCCTAACAGAGGAGACAATGGCAAAAAAAAAAAAAAAAATAAGGGAGGGGGGGAGGAGGAGAGGGAAAGCAAATAGGGGAAAGAGGGGATTGAGGGAGGGATGGGGTGGGACAAGGAATAAGGAACGGAACAGAAGAAAAACATGTGAAGTTGCAGTACATCACAGAAATGGTATCTGAAGGAGACAGCAAGAAAGGGTGGGCAGCGATAGGGTGACAGAGGTGTAGTTAGAGATCCGTGCTTGCATAAACGTGAGCTAAAAGCATGGCTGTGTGCAGAAGAAGCCAAGAATGATTCAGTGAGGCATGTGGGAGGCTCTAGAAGGGACAAACAATGTGTTATACTCAACTCCAAATAAGCCAGTCACATACTATGAGTGAGGCAAAACTCCGAGTTCAGAGAGGCTTGGCATGCAGGCGAGGATGAGTTAGCGCGATGTCGGTGCACTGCGAGGAAATGTGCTCTGTCACACACAGACCACTCATAAATCCTACACAACACACATTCATATAAACATACATATTTCAGACTGCAGCTGTTACCATCACAAACCTACAACGTGAGAGAATTCTGACCTCTCACATTTGCATTTCAGTTTTAATGATGTGAAAATGCAAGCCCAACAAAAACCACAGGCAGAGAAGTGGAGAATGGGATATTTCATTCATTGTTAAAACCTCAGGCATCGAACCCAAGATCCTAAAATGTGCAACACCACTGTGGCCATGCCTAGTCAAAAAAACAAAAGATGCACACAATGCTGACTCCAGTTGCAGGTAAAGCGTTATTTCCTGAATGTCACACCCTGAGGAGTGAAAACAATTAATTCAAACCCCAAAGCCAGGCCAGCCATACGGGTTAGCACATAAATTAGCACTCAAATTTCTTTTTCACTAAGGGGACTGAGTGCTTCAACAATTTTACTCACTTTAAACCATCCACCTTCTACGCTGGCTTTGAGGGATTTGAACAGTGGATTTTTAAGAACAGTTCCCCAGTGGTAGAAAACATCGGAGAAAAAGAAATGTGAGTGCGCCGTAGGATCTCACCGTTCTTCTCAAGCAAGAGTGGGTCAGAATGTTTCTTGCCTATGTCAGCAATGGAGCGCACAAGTGGGATGCGATTGCTGAGCTTTCTCTCATTCTGATGATGGTGTTTCTTCAGCATTGCTTCCCGCACCTTGTCACGCAAATCCTCCTTCAGCTGCCCTGACGCCACCATGCTGTCTATCACCATGTCTGAGTCACACAGTGGCAGCGGCAAAAACACAAACACACAAGAACACACAAAGAAGGTTATATATAGACCATTAAACATGTAATTATTATTGTAATAAATTCAATGCATTTCATAGTAATCGCAATGCTACCTAAAATATATAACAGTGATATGTAAAAGTCCTCTATTTTAAATTTACCTGCGATTTCCTCGATACTACTGGCCCTCATATCCAGCAAAACTGTGCCGTTAAGTATGCAGCTACGCAGTTCAAATAAGCTGTGTAAGGACAATGTGGCCACGTAAGGCTTACTCCACCTCTCCCCACCATCTTCCACATCCTCTTCAAACTTCAGCCATCTGTAGGTAAGCGCCAAAAAAAAGACATGTACAGAAAGACGACAATGTTTTATTTGTACCGATATACAAGCTGTATTGCAATTCAGTAAGAGTCTGTGCTGGCTTGCAAAGCCAAGATGCTATCCATCCATCCATTTTCTTCTGCTTATCAGGAACAGGTTTGGGGGGGAGCAGCCTGAGGCAAGGATGCCCACACCTCCCTCTTCCCAGCCACCTCCTCCAGCTTATACAGGGGTAGACGTTCCCAGGCCAACCAAGAGATGTAGTCTTTCCAGTGTGTCCTGGAAAACACCTCACCCACGAGGTGCCCAGGAGGCATCCTCGTCAGATGCCCTAGCCACCTCATTGGCTCCATTCAATGTGGAGGGCTAGCGGGTATACTCTGAGTCTCTCTCAGATGACTGAACTCCTTACCCCATCTCTAAGAGAGAGGCCTGCAGCTCTGCGGCTCAACCGATAAATACATTTTCCTTACAAATGTGGGACCATGTATAACAAACAGGCTTTTAAATGGTTGCCAAGAAGCATTGTAACAACAAAGAAATCATCAACCAAATTTATTTACTTTTTTTTGCCAAGTTTATTTCAAACCACAGCAAACAACCCTGGAAATGTTTATGTATGATATTAGTTTAGTTTTCTTTTAATATCAAATTAAAATTGAGATTGTTCAATGAAAGAAATGTTTCAGGATTGCTGCAGATTCTGGGGGCATTAAAAATGCTGTGAAGGCATTATGAAATTATTCAATTGTCATTTAAAGTACTTCACGGTAGAAAAATTCTAAAGTTCACACTGATTTTTACTGAAAAATAAGCCACTTAAGCTGATAGCTGTGATTATTTGTCAAAAAGACCTCAGGTAACACCTTCCCTTTTAAATGTAACTGAAAACTAATGGGGTTTTTTTTTTCTTTAAAAAGCCAATAGATCTGTGCTGTGGGCTTCTGGTTTGTTTGTTTTTTACTTCATATGGTTGTTATGCTGTTCACACTTTCATCTGCAGCCTAACCTGGCAGTCTCTCTCCACTCAGTGGCAGTGCCATCTCTAAAGGACAGCTCATCCATTTCGGTGAAGAGGTCGTGAGGGACGTGCTCCAGGTCATCATCCTCCGTACCCAAGATGAACTGTACCCTCTGGGATGGCGTGTCTAAACAGAGAGTGGAACAAAAGGTTCATTTTTTGCAATAATTATAACAATAACAATAAAATTAAAGAAACTGAACAAACTGTCAGGAAATGCAGGGAAGACAGAAGTTTCCAAAATAAAGTATAAACTCAGAGCATTTTGGTTAGTGGCCCAATGTAAACAACTTTTCTTACTTCACAAGAAAATTGCACAGGGCAGATGTCTTATTCTGAAATGTTTATTTCAACTCTAAAGGATGATATGGGAAAATGCTCTGTGAAAGCAGAGATTAAATCTACAATTATAAAGGCGGATGGATTGCGTATGTGTAGCTGGTCACGACAACCATCTATGTAATTGCTTTTCTTTGAGGAAGAATACCGCTCGCTACCAAGAAATGTACTAAAGAGAATAATAAAACTCGGACGCTTTAGCAACTTCCTTTTCATGTCTGATTGAATTAAGAGATATAGTATTAGGATATCTGAAACCACAGAGAAGAAAGAAATAGATAAAGTAGATTAGAAGACTAAACTCTACAGGGAGGCAGAAATTAAATAGTTGGAGTGAAAACCCTTGTGTTAACTTTCTGTTAACACAAGGGTACATTGTGTGGTGATTTGGTGTCTATTACGCACTCAATATTAACACTTCAGTTCCAACTGAAAAACATTTATTTTCTGGAGCAAAAGCAGACACTGAAACATTTTTTTAAACTTCCTGAACACACTGAAGTGTTTTAGTTTATCACAGTGATGACAAACTGTTTTTATAAAATGCATTTTTAGTCCTATCCCAAAAAGTCTACCTCAGAATATTGACACTATAAATGATAAAACCGTGCTTTAAAAATAAAAGCATCTTTTGTTGGTTGCACTGTTACAAGGCTCGATTCAGTATTTCATCGAGTTCAAAATACTTCTTGGTTGCTTACGAGTCTTACAGCTGGAATGACGCAGCAACTTCAATCACAAATGCGTACACACATCACTTAAAATGCCAGAGCCTTCAGTCTGTCAGAGGCCGTTCACAGCGGCCTTTAATGCCTTTTAGAGCTGCACTGTTTGACGTATGGAGAAAATCAGAGGGTTAAACAAAAGTAATTATCTAATTGCCCACAGTGGCTACATTTCTTTTAACTTAAGCTTTTGTGGATGCTTTACTTAAAGATTTTATGTGGAGTTTTCCTTGCATTCATTATATTACCAGATTCTACCTATTCTAGATTATAGGAGATTCTATTTTATATGTGAAGGAAGCCCATTAGTGTGTGGTAATAGATATATTTTAAGGTTCAAAGGTACACACTAGCTGCAAGCTACAATACTGTGGGATGGGATATAAGAAAACAGAGCAGACTAGAGAAAGAAAAGTTTAAAAAAAAATTAAAAAAAAAAGGTGTGTGATATGGATGAAATTGCAATTATAAGTTCAAAATAGTCGCCAACCATAAGTAGGAGAATCCCTGCCGTCTTCCTTCCCCTCCTCGGAATCTCTATTCTTCTTCTTTCTTTGCTTGTGTCCTCTGTGGCGATGCCTCCGCTTACTCTCCCTCCCAAGAGGAACATGGACACCCACGTACACTGCTCTGTGGCCTAGGAAAAGTAAAGATGCAATATCTATTGACACACTGTATTACACTGTGACAAAGCTTCTAATCTGCAAACACTTTACCAGCACCAATAATTGGATGTTAAAAAGGAGATTTATTGAAATTTAATTAATTAATTATTGTCCGCTTGTATAGGAAATAAAAGGAGGGGAGAAACGCCATTCAACCTCCTTATGCATATTAACATAATCATTTGTCTGCCAGAGGACACGGTGCAACTTACCTGTTCACAACACCTGTTTGGAAGCCACAAACACAAAAACCAGCAGATCCAGAGTCAAGCAGAACATAAATGAGTGAATAAATAACTACACATAACAAATATTATAGAAATCTGTTTATATTTTCTGTATCTGAAAGGAAAGAAAATATTGTTCAATATATGAGGATTTTATTTTTAAATCAACAAATCCTAGCTCAAGTTTAAATGACCACAACTGCTATACATCTTGTTATAATGGATCTACATAAAATTTGCACTTTTTTTCTCTTCGGATAAAGAAGTAAAGGTTCTATATCTAGCAAACCTGACAGATTCCAGGTATAACTCCTCGGGTATAACGACAGCATACAGCTCACAAACCACATGTGCAGCAACATTATTTCGTGCATTTTTTCGTGGACAATCCCGACACTGCAACTGTGCAGAGTGGAAATGCTATAGTCATTTCCTGCATATTGGTAGCTTAAATTTTTAACTTATAGAAAAAAAATAATTAGATTGTGGAGCAGATCTCACGGCACATATACCATTCAAGACTTGAAAAGGTCATCCATGCTCTCATTTCAGACTTCACTACAATAATGCACTTTACACCAACCATCAGTTACTATAAAATGTACAGGCTAGAGTTAATTAAAAATGTAGCTGCCAAGCTTTAAAAACATAGCAAAAGGAGTGATTTTCTTGCATCAGCCAAGTGATTTTAAGATTTTATTGTTGGCTTTTAAAGCTCTACGCTCCTATCAGGCTCCTGCTTCACATCTGCAAGTTGCAGAGCTTATATAGGGATATAAGTGGAATTAAACACTAATATTAAAAAATAGTAAACTATGTTGAAAAAGGTTTACACTGTGAAAGCAGTATCATATTTCCAGGGACACACACATTCAAGAAAAAAGGCAATAAATTTCTTTCCTATTCTTTTGAGAGCTTCAGATAAAAAAAAAATATGGAGGTAAACCATAAACATGACATCCCACCCCCAGTTTTATCTTCTCCTCATTATTGTTACTGCGACAAAGGAGCCATATTGCAAAAAGACAGCACCCCATTTTCACCCTGCATTTGCTACCAATACCCTTTTCTTTGTAGATGAGTCATCGTTCTTTGATCTGAATGGGAGGAGGATTAAAATCAAGAGAAGAGGTTTGAGCGTAGGGGACACAAGCACAAGTCTAACAGATGGAGACAAACACCGAGAGCAAAGACAACAGAAAAAAGGCGCAGGAGATGAAAGAGCATGAAGAGAAGGAAAAAAATGGACAGCTTAGCTGGACAGAAAGCAGAGGGCTCCAGCAGTGCCTTAAAACTGAGATAATACTGAAAGGAAGTTATAGTTATGGATCCACTTGAAGAAATAGACTTTTACTTGAATCTTGAAAGTGTTTCCACCTGATGAGTGCTGGCTTAATCCTACATTTCCATTACACAGTACAGCACAAGAAATAGTTGCAAGAAAAATACTTGTGGTCTCGCAGTTTTAAACTTACTTTCAAAATCGTCTTTCTCATAGTTTGAGAGAGTGGCGAAGCTCGTCTTTCCGTGGTCAACAATCGCCTCCTCATCTAGACCCTGACAAAAAAAAA